GGCACGCATTTAATTAAGCATGTACGTTCAGTGGGTAAGGTTGCTACTCAGCTCCTACCAAATGCAGCTCCTATGCTACACGTGTGATGCGAGTTCGAGACTATCGCGATTTTCCGTGGTTAAAAAGACGGCCAGCTGGCGCATTTACTAGACACATCATCAACCCAGTGTGTCTTGTGTAAATTCTGCTGTGTGTGTGTGTCAGGGGGATCAGGTTGTGCTATGGCGCGCGCAGATGGTTCGCCGGCCCTATCAGCCACTAAGCCCGGTCCCGCCTCCGGTCTTCTTGCTTCTGTCCTGGCAACAGGCTCAGGTTGGTGTGGGAAGAGAGAGTGCGCGGTAGATGCTGCGCAAATCTGGTATCACTTAAAATTAATTCACACACAAGTCACCGCGTTTGCCTTAGCTTGCTGAAACACGCGGTGAACATCATTGAAATCGATGGATTAAATTTTGGTTAATCTACGGAAGTGGAGAAGAAGGGTTCAGTAATAGCCACTCATACTCCAGCCTGCTGCCATTTTCTGGTAGGTCAACTTGCCATAGATCGGAAAATGGCATTTCACTAACACACTAAGTTTGCTTATTAGCACCTGACCACAGCCACGTACTCCAGCAAGCCACTTCTTAATTCAGCGGCGAAGCTAGTTTGAATTATGGATTTTTGACGAGAATATACGTGCCGACATCAGACAACTATTGAAAAGAACTGGATCAGGTGCGCCTACTACGGGATCGATATGCAAAATCATTTGAAATTAGATTGTGCGATGCTGACGCACAATTAAAACAGCCAGACCAGACGAGGATGCATCACACCAAAGGCCTCCGTTCCCACATTCCACCCATCGTTTTCGTTCGCCTAGTCTGTACATCATACATCATAAATCCTCTATTGGTCAGTTGGATACGACGGGATAATTCATGGCTGCCATTTATGATCAAAGCCTGGATCTCTGATGGGACGAAAGGCACGCATATACACATTCCCACAAGAGCAGCTCGCGAATATTAGGCTGGAAACCGAAACTAGCTGCGTGATTTTACTTGTGCACAAAAGAGAGGCTTGCGCGGGAGCCATTAACCTACTCAGCTTTGTGCGAGTGAATGACATTTACCTGCACATGTAATTCCTAGGAGGTCAAGACTTCATTCGAGTCTTTAAGTAATGCAAACGCATAGAAAACAACCAAATTTCTGACTATAAAAAAGAACACGTGTGTCCTTAAGCAACCGACCCAGCGCAATAAGGTTAATGACGATTGCAGGTGACAAGAAGGCCTCTCGTTTTAAGGCGAAGGATGGAGAACACAAACACAAAAATCCTTAAATTGTATAAAATAAGATTTCCGATTTTCCAGGGCAAAAGCAGCCAATTAAAACATCCTGCCCTCCGCTCAAACGCACTCCAAATATGTCACTGGTGTGAACACATCTCCAATCCTACATCTAGGTGAGAGTGGATGAGGATGTGATAAATATTTTCCATTAGACGTATGCTTATTCTGCTTATTCTGTGAGTAGGTCGCTGTAGAAGAAGCGAAGCAGGGTTCCCCACCAGGACTCAGTGCCTAAGAAGGCATACTACTCAGAATTAACCTGAAATGACCACGAGTAAGATACATCATTCTCTGTATAAGTTAAACTTGTGTCGCGGTCGGCAAGCACATGAAACAAAAGTATAACAACTATATAATGTGACATACTGTAAGTCTAAGGTTGAGATGTTTGAACGTTCACCCTCCAACTAATATGGAGCCTTTTTCCTCAACCTTTGCAATGAATTTACTATCTAACATGCTATACATTTTTTAAGACAACAGAGGGCGAAATTACGGAAGCACTTCCCATGGTAAAGCTTTTGGGACAGCCTGTAGAATGCTGTTAAACTTGATCTGCGATTTAAGGTGTACGTGGCCTGGAAGGGCCCTGTTGACAGAACTTAAAGCCCACTGCGTGCATTTGTTTCTTCCTGCACATTTCAAATTAACGTGCGCACAGTTGGTAGCGCAAATGCCACCACTTTTCTTACTGCACTCTTAGAAGCGCAAAATTAAACGGTAAAGTCAATTAGCCCATGTGTAAACCTGGCTGCCCACACGGCGTCGGGATGACCAAGCGCTGATGCGAGGATGCCGCACTTTGGTGTGCGTATGGTGGCGCGGTTTAGGTCTGACGTGGCGCAACAAACTAAAGGTTACGCCAGGCTTGATCAACGATCGACTGGAGCGGAAAAAAGTATCCATAATCTGCTTGGCATAGAAAACAAAAGCTACAAAATAAAACAGTGAAGGTCAGTAGCGGCAATATCTGCAGTTGCTTCACATCGAGGACGCAGCATCGGTGACTTGCGCGTGAATTAATTTATAATGAGGTCGACATGCGCACTGACATCTACCACAAACACTCGTCATTCACCCACTTTGCTCCAAAGCAATCTCCGACCGCCCGGAGGTGGGGGCGAGGATTCAGTGGCGGACAAAAGACTTAACAGTCCGTTTACGAGTGCCGCACATGGCTTGTCCACAAAATATACCAGTCCATTACGAGGTCAGCTCCAATCTCACAGGAGTAAAAAGCAGTAAAACCAAGCATGCTTTACTACTAATACTAATGCTAGAAGTACAAAAACTACGAGTTCTGCTACTACTATTAGTACTGCGAAATATACAGCTAGTTGTACAAAGTTAATAAGGCCATGATGTTGCTCATAAGCTAATGCTACCATGAAAGCGACAAAAAAGCCGAATTAAGAAGTGGTGATTGTAGTCTGATTCTCTTCCTACTCCACTATGATCACCGTGAGGGCCGACTTATTTCGTCAGTTGGCGACCTTTCACTCAAGGATTCCTATAAAATCAAGCGCGGCTAATGGGTCCCCCAGTATGCGGCGCAGAGGCTAATGCGACGTGAAGGCCTACGCCTAAGGAGCACCACCGAACGCATAGGCGGGGAACGAATATATGTTCAGAACACAATTTTGGCAAGCGAACGCTTTCAGTAACTTCTCTCACTCGGAACTACTTGCCTATAAAGGGACCTTTTATGCAATGAAACAAGCAAGCACGACCTTTTGTAATCATAAATATTTCTGAACGTTGCGCTTCCTCCTCT